TCATCGTCAACCACAACACTCATTAACAACGTCATCATCACCATCATAGACAACGTCATAGATCATAATTAACATCAATCATCATCATCATCATTGATTAATCACTATCTTCATCAACCACAACAACATTATCGTCATCAGAACATAGTGCATTCAGAATATAGTGCATACAACTCAAACGAATCTTGTTGTCAAGAGAATGATCCGTGATCTTAAATTCACCACTTCGGCGCTAGCTGTCACGTGGTATGAATGGTTTTGGATTGGTCACCAAAAGGGTCGGACATTGTTCTTGGATTAACGTACAAATGCACTGACTATTGAACAAATTATTTTCTTGGTTTGTTTATCTGTTTCTCTAAATAGCAGTAAGAAAAGCTCCATTCAAGTTAGAAAAATGATACTTTGCTTATATATTTAGAAAGGGAACTAAACAAATCAAGTAAATCAGTCAGGTACATTCGTACCAAAATACGAGAACAATGTCCGAACTTTTTGGTGTTCGTAACACAATAAATCCAGTAAAACTTATACCACGTGATGGCTAGCGCCGAAGTGGTGAATTGGAAAACTACATTACGTCTAATAAAGGCAAAGGGTCTAGAGCTAGAACATCCTATTCTAGTTTTTGGTATCATCGCGGTTTTCTGCTGAAGGGGATGAAAAATATGATCTTGATTATTACTGAAAATTTCGTCACCGATCGAGTGTGTTGGGTAACCGGGTCATGCGACCAGAAGCCACGCAAAAAGAAAAAAAGAAAATAAACAATTCTGGGGTTGAAATCCTTCAAATTTTCATGCCTTTGATTTCATTCATCTGTTATTTATTTCCAGCTTTCCTAGTTATCGGAGTACCAACCAAAAAGCGCTTAAAAGCCAGTTATCTTGTACAAACATTACGAGATCTCATAGGAGGACTTGACGATGAAGAGAAGAATGAAGTTATCATAGTTGTTCTTATTACAGACTTTAGTCCATCTTCTGTACAAAGTGTACAAAGAGAGTTATTTAGTGCCTTTCCAAAAGAGATTTCTTCTGGACTAGTACGAGTCATCGCAGCACCCCGATCTTTCTACCCAAGTCTAGACAAGGTTCAACCGCTCTGGGGTGACAAACCCGAGAGAATACGTTGGCGTTCAAAACAATGCCTCGATTATGCTTATTTATTTAACTATTCCAAAGACCTGGGTCAATACTACCTTCAGGTAGAAGACGATGTTTCAACGGTGAAGGGCTATCTCAAAGAAATTAAGGGGTTTATCGTGGCCAATCAGAATCGTTCTTGGTCGATGCTCGAGTTTGGGGCTAGAGGGTTCATTGGGATGATGTATCGCGCCTCTGACGTTGGTCGTTTGGCGACTTTTGTGAAGATTTACTATTGGGTATTTCCTATTGATATTTTGTTTCGACAATTTAACGACTTTCATCTCTACGGGAATCCTGATTGGTTGAAGTATCGGCCGCCTCTCTTTCTTCACGTGGGAGCATTTTCGTCGCTCGATGGGCAAGTACGTAAGCTTGAAGACATTGAAGTGAGCCATAGAATGTACAAAGATAGTAGCAATCCGCCAGCCAAGGTATCTACCTCGATTCGTGACTTCACAAAGAATTATATCTCTGCTGTGTATAGCACAAATCTCCATGGTATGTTCTGGGGAAAGACTGTTAAAGAAGGTGACTTTATTCTTATCAAATTTCATTCTCCTGTGCGAATTTCTAAGTTAATAGTCGAGTCTGGAGGAACTGTAGCCCCTGAGGATTATTTTGGTGGTTCTAGGGTGCTATACAGTCAGGGGAACGACAAAGGACAGTGCGAAAACTTTATCCTGTGGCAAGAATTTGGGGAAATAGGGCAAGTTAAACTTCAAAGTAACGAAGACAATGGAACACTATGTCAATGTTTGAAAATAGAAATCACTAAAATAAGAAAAGACAATAAGGGCAGACCTAGGTGGCTTGCGATACGAGAAATTGCTGTGTGGGTGATTTGACCTCTATAGGCTTTCCACTCGTTTAAATGAGTGCGCTTTTACGAGGTGAAAACGTTAAACGACGAAAAAGAACTTTTCGGAATGGTTAAAATACGGCTAGTGTGCTTCTTGATTACAGACTCGTTTACTCAGGGCTAGCCTCGAATCAGTATCTAATTATCAACAAACACCAACGGTAAAATAAAGAATGCATTCGATAATACCAACAATTTGGAATTGCATGGAACTACACTGGAAAACGTGAATATTCTGCCCAAAAATCGAGCCTAACCCTGAGCAACAATGAATAATAATCATTTTTACCGATACAGCGGCCATCTTGACCATCTTTCATTTTATATAACGAGTGGGCAACTATTGGACAATTTTATAGACTGTACAACTGTCAGAGTGTTTTAATATATATAAAACGTAACGCTTTTCAACGAGGAGTACATCTAAAAATAATATAATATTTTCTGGTAGTTTGGAACGTTATTGAAATTCCATGACTTAAAGCATTTGCCGAAAACGCAATTCCAGCTCTCTGATTTACAATTTTCTACGTTTCCAACCTTAGCATACCATAATTCAAAACTGTATACTTGATTCAGCTGATGAATATTAATAGCGACCTTAAGCTTTTCAAAATCTACGACGGCGACGTCAACCGTGATAATAACATCTCTTTGGGCTTCTGTTCATTGGAGATTTCATTCAAAACATTGTCAGTAAAACTAAACTCATCCAAAAGGGAAGACAGAGTTTGGGAAAGCTACTACGGATCTCACCGAACTGTGGCGACACGTCAAAAATTTGTCTCTCTTCCACGCCCTAATTCGTCTACTGACACGCCTACTTTTGTTACAGCAGTCGGCGTTCCATCTTTCATGTATTACAGTGAACTGTAATTAGGGTGTGGATTTCGTTTTCGAATTGGTATTGATGGATATACGGTTAAAATTATTTATGTAAAAGGAATAAAATACTTAATTTATCTGAAGAACTTCTCCCCCCCCCCCCCCCCCCCCCAATTTTTATATTACCGAACCTGATTGCATGGCCATTTTCCCCGTAACAGGTTACATAACCCTAACCCATTTTAAAGCTGTCAAAATGAACATCAGAACAGTACTTCGATATTAGTAAGAAAATAAAGGGGTTAAGGTCACGTGACTTGTTAGTGCAAATGGCCACTCGAGGAGAGTAAGCTGTAAAGACACAGGAAACCCATGCAAGCACAAGTGATCACGTTTGCCGAGTTTTAGCACCACCAGCACGAAATAAAAAATATGAGGACAACAAACCGAGCCTACCTTATCGTACATATTTTTTCTGAGAAAAGTAAAGCTGATCGAGAACCTGGAGGAAAATATTTGAAACCACTGTTTATCTTTCCATCGCCATTTATTTGTAACTTTATTTTTATATTTTTATAAAATAAATAGATGAATAACGACTTTCTTTTTCTAACGTAATTGTTTTTCTTAAGCTTACATATTGTTTGAGGCAGCTATGATGAGCCCCTCCAAGGGAGTCAAAGTTCCCTTGTTCCGCAGTAATTTTTCTGTTTGTTCACTGTAGTTCCCTATAAGTCGAAATACAAAATTTGACAATTTGTTCCCCAAAAATATGACTTTTCACTTCATACCTATTCGCAGCACGCATGCGCACTTTATTTTCAATATGCAATGACTTGTTTAACTTTTCAATACACAGCTCTCAGTAATAACTTGCTAATTTGCATAAACGCTGATAATCATTGTTTTTGGAGTGCAAACCCCTTTTAAATAGTTGAGCTCGTTGATTTAGATAATAGAGTGCTTTTAGTCTCACTGTTGAATAGGTGACGTCAACTAAATTAGATAAGTTATTTACTATTTTAGGTGACGTCACCTAAATTTGAAACTACGAGTAAACAGCTACTTAGTTCAGGGGGAGAAACGATGATACAAATGAATGTCTATTCACTCATTCTCTGGTAAAACAACCCCCCGGATTAGCATGACCGTTATTTGGCGCGCTTTTACTATTTTAGGTGACGTCAACTAAATAGTTATCTAAGTTAGATAAATTTATTTAATAAATTTATCTAACTATTCAACAGTGAGACTAAAAGCACTCTATGTGTGACTTTCTAATGAAGGTAATAATTCTTTGATAAGATATGACTATTCGAAGTTTTGAAAATGCACCAAAACGAGGCCACCAAGGCTTTCAGTGATACTATACTCACAAAACTCTCTATTTTCGATCTTTCGAAACTTATAATAATAATAATAAAGCGTAAAGCGTTTGTACAAGTCTGTTCTAAGCGCTAAATTAAATTACAAAGAAAAAAGTATTCTAAATAAAGAGTACTTCTTGGTATTCAGTCAAATTGAACAAAACAAAATTGGGAAACGCTTTTATGAAGTACTTTCTCAAATAGCATTGAAATTTTTGGTAAAAGGCCTCATTTTATGAGAGCCGTGCATGTGACCATAGTTAATAGTTAATATTACTATGATGTGACAGAATTTTACACTTTGAAAGAAAAATGGGGTGGGGAAAACGAATCTCTTGGACTTTGACCCAGATTACTGCGCATGTGTAGTAAACCAACAAAATGGCGGACGAGAAGAAGGAGATGCAAAAACTCACCTTTGAAGAAGTAAAAGACCACAATAAAGCCGGGAAATGCTGGGTCGTTATACATGATAACGTTTACGATGTAACGAAATTTCTAGACGAGGTAAATTTACTGTGCTATATGAGTATTTAACGTGGAATGTGTCTTTTTTTTCGCTGAGTCATGATGTGAATCGAGTTGCAAATTGCAAACTGTGGTTTGGCAAATCTGACCTGCTTTCCTGCGAATATCTCTTACTTTCTCAAGCGATTTTATCTCAATCGAACCTACTTGCCAACTATTTACATTTGTTTTGATTTTTTATTTTGATCAATGCCAGTATATGAAGAACGTTTATAAGCAAAAGATCCCATTGTCAGATTTTTTAAAAATTTCACGTGATGAAATTGCATAATACTAGAAATAAAAAAGCAAATAAAAATGGGGTCACTGGCTTCATTTAGCCATCAGAATGCATGGTTCATTTTTTTACGGTAAAGACGCGAGAACAATAAACATGGAAAGCTGTCTAATGAACTACTAATAATTATTATTACAAAATCCTAGATCTACTACTGATATTCTTATCTTAAACTGCCACTTAAATTAGAATTACTTAAGATATAATCGATGAATAGATCGGACTACTTTTTACCATACTCTTAGCCTTTAAATTAGCTACTATCTACTAAGTATAATTGGTAAATCTTCAGTCCATTTTTTCACTTAGAGTTTATCATTATTAACATAATTCGGTTGTTGTTATTATAATTTAAATTTTTGTTAGGGTGCACTTAATTTGGAGCCAAACTCTGTTGTGCTTACTCCTTCCATGATAGCTTAGGAACTTAGATAATTGTCATGGATAAAGTAATGTAAATAAATAAATAAGTAAAATCAAGCCATATTTTACTAAAAAAAAGCATTCATCGTCCCCATTTTTCACAGGATTCTAGAGGAAAAATTGATAATTAGTCAGCATTACAAATTTTGTTAAAGTGCTACTACGACGAAAATCGCTCAAACTTGGATTCAGCTGAAACTTCCTAAGAATACTCTTTAAAGGTCCAATAATCACTGTATGAAGTATTTTCTTGATATTCAGGACGAAAGTATGATATTTTTACGATTATTTTTTGGAGTCTGTGACGTCATACACTCAACATCGAACATCGCTCCATACATTTCTTTGTAGTTTATGATCAAAATATCAGTAGTAAAGGGAGAAAGAAATACCCAAACACCACAAAATATAAATCATAGTCACAAGTAATGTGAAATAAGCACATTAGCCACCCTTTGGGCTTCATAGGAATAAAATAAATTAAGGATTTATATACAAAGAAATATATGTAGCAATGTTTGATGTTGAGTGTATGACGTCACAGACTTCAAAAAATAATCGTAAAAATATCATACTTTCGTACTGAATATCGAGAAAACACTTCATGCAGTGATTATTGAACCTTTAAAGAGTATTCTTAGGAAGTTTCAGCTGAATCCAAGTTTGAGCGATTTTCGTCGTAGTAGCACTTTAACAATTAGTAATATGAAATATTATGTGTGGACTTGGAGCCTTCACGTTACGTGAAATTCTATTCCAATTAATATGTACAAAATATGTAATTTCAATTAGGATCCCATCATTTGCAGTTTTTCCCCTCTAATGTACAGCATCATAGAGTGCTTTTGAGAAATGAAATGAAGAAGGGGGTTGCCCAACTTTGTCTTAGAGCTTTAAGAAATTGAAGACGTTTTCATGATATTTTGCATATCGAAACATTGGCCTTGATATACATGAGATGCATTATATGGCTTAACCTCGCTTACCAGCAAATCATTTTCAAAAGTCAAATGTAAGGTAAAGGATGCAAACCTCGAACAATACCAGTATTTTGAAATCCTGTGGATTTTTAATGGTATCTGTGAAAAGCAGACTTATAAACGAGTCTAAGCCTGTTCAAATGTGGTCATTGAAAACAGTGGTATGCATTAAATGAGAAACTGGCGTATTGGGCTACGTTTCTTTATCGTCCAATTTGTTTTTACTTCAGAAATTAATGCAAAGGGTGTAATGTAGGAGGTTCTTGGTTATACTGGAAAAAAATATTCTGTCAGTAGAAGTTTACAGTGTTTCTCAATCACATTTGTGACAAAATATGGTTTTGGTGAGCATCAATCAGTGGTTCCATGACATTGTCAAGAAAACACAGAGTTCCATATTGCCGGTTTTCACATGACGTCATCAAAACATCAAAATCTAAACTATAGATCGTATRAAGGCATTTCTCAAGTATGTTTTAGAAATCAGTGTTATAAGTCACAAGAAAAATTCTCGAGTCATTTCGATGTTTGGTTCCCGAGTTAGGAAGGTTGAGTTTGTGTCACGCAATACCGTCACGTCTATCTAAATAGTGATCAAAATAGTAAAATAATTTACTCTAATTGAAAGATTTTCCCTTAAACATGTTTAAAATATCTATTCAAAGTATATTTAAGTGAAATATAGTCAAAAATATTAAATAATCCATTATTTTAAGCCTTTGGAGTTTCGTCCGCCATGATGGTGTACCAACTTGGAACACCAAGATGGCCGCTCCATACATTTTAACCTACAATTGCATCACGTTTACTCACCTATAGTTCTGCAACGAAATGCTTTACAGCCTTAAAATTTGGCCAGTATATGTAGTTTGGAACGGTTTATGAGATTATGAAATTTGTATTTCATGATAATGCAAATTTATGCTTTTGAAATTCATGATGACATAGGTGAAAACCAAGAATATATAAGAACTATGCTGAAG